AAGTTAACTACTCGTAGCTGAAAATTTTGGTTTTGTTTGTTTTGAACTTCACACAAAGTTACACGACGGCTATCTGTGCTAGCCGTTCCTAATTTGGCAGTGATAGACTAGAAAGAAGGCAGCTAGTCAACATCACCCACTGCCAACTCTTTTACTAACGAATAGTGGGATTGATTGTACATTATAACGCCCCACGACTGAAAGGGCGAGAATGCAGCTAATAATTTTCAAAGACATGAAATATTTCTAATGATGCATTAAAACTGAAAAACCTACCTAATAAGGCTTATTCTAAACTCTCAAATACAAATTGTAGAAATGTTTAATATTTTTATTTGTTTAATATAATGAAATAACATTTAGTTTCTGTACTAAAATATAATAAGATACAAATTACAATGTTAAAACAAAACGTATATCGGAATTGTAATATGATTACATACGCACTTAAAATCACAAACGTTTATTAATTACAATATAATTTCACTTGACTTACTTTTATACCTCAAACTTATGTAGCAGTAACAGAATAGTGATGGTTGACGCATGCTCAGAACTATGACAGACATAAAGGTCTGGCTGAAATCTGTGGTCCAATACCATTTCATATTATCAAATATTGGCTTATATAAAATTCGAACATATTACTAGATAATGTATCTCAAAATAATAAAACTGAATATAAACTAAACTTAAGGCTAATATGAATGGTCCGCAGAATATAACATTAATTTAAGGTGTACGCAAAATTCTCAACAGCATAAGATTAAAATCCGTGTTAACTATCATGCTTACAGTTCCAAACGAGATTAATATCTCAGTTGCGATCGACATCTATGTACTTCCGGTGATAAATTGTATAATGTTCTTCACTATTTCCGATTTGTGACCAATAGCCAATAGTGGAGTAGCCCCCTGGAATCACGCTTTCACTTGCTTTACCAATATTGTTAAATGGTAACAGTTTGTGCTTAGCTAGCATGCTCTTATAATAATGGAATATATTAACTTTGAGTCGAAAGGTCCTGTAATATAACTCTTCCAGAAAGGGATAAATTTTGGTTGCAGCCTGCAGGTCACCACATTTCAACTGAAATGTAATATATAGCGTTAAAAACAACAACAAAAATGTACAGTAATTAGTGACCATTAAAAAGTAATAACTAATTAGTAACATACGATTCACTTTTATAATTTAACACTTGTTTACTATTTTTTTAATCTGGTTTTGAATACCTGTTCATAAAATAAAAGAACATAATTAGTTGCATATTCTTTTGGTTTTAAGCATAATAATCAACATCAATGAATAGTATACACAATTTGAGAGTATATAATTACCAGTGCACGTTGACTAATTAACAAGGAAAATTTCATAATTGAACAGGAAATACAGACATTCTCATTAATATAGATAATGGGTGAATAATATAAACATTTCCCAAGTATACACATTCACCATAAAATATCCACAAAATTTCGTTCAATCTCAACATTTTCTCATTTTATAATATGTAGTCTTGAACAGTTGGTGAAGCATAACAATATTCTAAAGCATGCCCAAGGATAGCTAGCCGATTATATGGGGTATTGTTTGCAGGTTTTCTAATTCTCGAGTTGAAACAATCATGAAAATAAACTTATGAACTTTATTTTGTAACACAATACTCTTGTAAATATATAAACAGAAACTGTTTTGTGTTTATCCAAGAAAATAGCAACGCACCCTAATGATACTTGTATAAGTAACATTAAATAATTACTTGCAGGTTAGGAGAGTAAAAAAAAAAAAAAAGAATCTGTTGTCAGAAATCACCAGTGAATAATTGTTTTATTCTACCCCACACCCCTTCTGATTTCAGTTTTATAAAATCTGGTTAATAAGGGATGTCACATAGTATGTATAGCCTACAACCCTAGTCCTACGTGTAAATCTTAAAGTTTAACACTTCATTGAAGATTTGGATCTCGTTTCAAAAACCAGCAATATTATTCTACTTTATCATTATTATAATTAAACAATATGTTTGTGTTTTAATATATGCCATTTCAACTTGTACGCCTATCAGTTTTTTTTTGCAGGGCCACGTTTCTCTACAGCAGATATCTGCGACTTGTCGATAAATTTCAACAATAAACGGACAGCACACAATTCACTTGTTTTAAAATAATATATTTAAAACGAAGCAAACTTATGTACAAACATTTCGTTACATTTTTGGTTATCACAGCTGAATCAAGAGCTATAAATATTCTTTTTCGTCAAAAATCCACACAGGTGTGTTCAATTACTTTATAACCTGGGAAGAGGGCTTTCTTTAGAAGAAAGATCTAGATGATTCCAGGACTAAAGAAAAAAATGATGGGTTAGATAGGAGTTTATAAAAAATACAGCATAAGCTGATGCAGGCCAATGGAGTTATTTGCCGTATGTCATTAAAATGGAGAATATTAACTGTAGCCCTGCAAAGCTGCTGGAACCCAAATACATGATGATATCTATTTCTTTTTACTACATCCAACCACAACACTTAAGTAAAAGTAACAGCTCAAGTAGAATAAGGCACATAAAATTCGAAGTTCTGTTTGTTTGTAGTTAAGCAAAAAACTACACAAAGGACCATCTGTGCTCTACGACGGGTACTGAAACCCGGTTTCTAGAGTTCCGCAGACATACTGCTGTGCCGGTGAGCCACGAAGTTCTGTATAATATACAAAATAGCCAAGTTATATAAAGATGTAATGTTAAACAAAACAATTGGCGCAAACTCTTTCTTTTCCACGTTGCTACTATTTCCTTTTGTAATATGATGTGGTTGAATGGCATTTTTTGTTTCCACTTTTTTATGGCTAACTTTATAATGAAAAGAGACATCAATTTTGAAATTTATTTCATAGTTTGGAGCTTTTAGCCAACTACAAGTCACTGTTAATTTCTTAACCATATCTTAAGATATTACACAGGTTTATTGCAATAATTTCTTTGATAATGAGATATTTCAATTTACAGATGGCAGTGTTGCTCCATATTGCATTTGAGCGTCATTTTGTAGATTGTCAGTAGCTTCATCACTTTGCTGTTTGAATTTCTAAATTTCCATCAGTAACAATGAGGGCATTTTTTTTTTAAAAGTGTTCTGCAGTGTTACATCATTTAAAAATCTTGGTAAATCATTATTTCCTTTTGGAAAGGCTTTCCGATATTTCTCCAGCCAAAAATTTACACTGTTGAATGTACGGGAGATTTGCAGTGAGCCAAATATACACAAGTGTCATACAGCAACTGTGGCATCATAGCTCACTTACATATAAACAATTAATCCCTTTTTGAAACAGATGGATGCAAGGTAATAACATCTAATAATACTAAGCTTTTCGATTAACTTAAATTCTACATTTCAGTTGCTTTCATAGATCAAGTCTTCTTTAAATTCAAAATTAAACAAGCTTTTTACTGTGAGACCTAGAAGCTAGTCCATCACTTTCTGATCTATGCATAAACACAAATAATTACCACAATTTTGTTGCCCATAGCAGCCCATTTATCAGTAAAGACTTCAATTGCAAATAACCATTGGTCATAAAAAAAAAGAAGAAAACATCTAACATTTCCAAAGGAATGACAAAAACTTTAGGTATTTTTTATGTTCTATAGTTGATAATCTGCTCTGAAGAGGTATCAAGAAACTAAATTTAACCCCAATATGAAGAGGTTTTGCTAGAGTGAAAAATCTTTCATTTAGGAGATCGTGGGTACTGATTAGGTGAGCCAGAATAAGATAGTAATGGATTAAATTTTATAAATAGCCACAAAAATGACTTGCTGATCCCTCCCCTCCTAACAACCTCTTTGTAAACTGTACATCTGCAGCATTTACTGTGGTTTGGTTTCAATGCCAATAACGTTTTGCAGATTAGTTTTCATTTCAATGTTTCATGGTAAATGTGTTATGATTTAAAATACTTTAACTCAGCAAGTGGCATTGTTTATAAAATCTTTTGTCTGAAAACTTACAAGTTTGTTTTGTTTAATTATCCACAGAGCATGTCATTCTTCTGGTGATTTTTTAAGCTAAAAATTGGTGTGTGTGTGCGTGTGTGTGTGTGTGTGTGTGTGTGTGTGTGTGTGTGTATATATAGTTGGTTTTACGTAGGATATACGAGGTAGACTTAATT